CTGGGGATCAAACTCAGGGGCACTCAAGCACTGAGACACAGACAGGGTCTTACTGAGTTACTTAGCACCTCAATTTTGCTGAGGCTGGCTTTGAACTCGCTGTCTTCCTGCCTCAGCCTCTTAAGCAGTTGAAATTACAGGTGTGCAGCACCACGCCTGGCTTATATTCCTTTCTGTGAACTATCATTAACTAGACTTTCTTTTGAGTTCCTTGAGGTCTTCCATTGATTTTCTTAAGTTACTTTCATATTTGATACAATCTGGACTATCAGTTTTCTGCAGACCAGTCCTTTATCTCTTTGTTACTGGTTCTATGTCTAGGGCCATAGAAACCTTGATGGCACAGAACAGACACCCATATTTATTATTAAATGAATAAATTCAAATATTATAATAAAACTACAAATAACTTAAGGGCATGCTAATTGTGGCATGAATTCTTTGCAGTTTCTCTTACCAGTGGGAATATTTATTTCCCCATCACTTGAATCTGTTTTGCCTATGTGATTTACTCTGACCCACTGAGTGAGGCAGATTGCTATTCTGGGACCTGCTCTCAAAAGACCTTGTAGCTTCTGCTCTTGCTCTTGAATATTTTTGTTATCAGGAGAAGAAGCCTAGACTTGTTTATTATGGGATGAAAGAACAACAACTGTGAGGAAGAAGACCAATGGCAAGATGTGGTGAGGTCACCTTGGACCACTCTACTGGAGGGGAGTCAGCAGACCCACTCAGCTATACCAGTCTAAGAAACTCATAGCAGTTGTTTCAAGCCCCGAGTTTTGGGGTGGTTGTTACACAGCAATAGATAGCTCATGCACCAACAGATAGGTCATGTGAACTTCAATGTTCAGTATGAGACTGATTAAGGACATTTATGGGCCATCCCTACAAGGGAACGCTCTTCATAACTACATATATGGAAGGATCTTCAAACTTTACACCTACAAATGCTAGAAGAGTGGACATTCACAGAATCCTGACATGGGTACTATTACTAATTCTATTTTATAAGTAAGAAAATAAGGCCCTGAGAAGTTGAGTGAGTAGTTTCCCTAAAGGTCACACAACTGGTAAGTGGCTAGGCTGTGGATTAAACCCAGGAGGTATGGCTGCAAAGCCTGGGCTCCAAACATATGATGCTCTACTGTTCTCCTCTGTACCACTAACTCCTATTTTTCCATTTTCTTCATTCTATTTCTATCTTTTCCCTGCATCTGTATTATATTCATCCAATACTTACATCTCAAAATTAATTTCCTAGATTTTAGTGGTATTAATTTGTACTTTCATGAACCAATCTCAAAGTTCATGACCTTAAACTAAGGAAAATAAGCATTAAAAAAAGACTCAGAGCTGGGTGCAGTGGTTTAAGAAATTCCAGTGACTCAGGAGACTGAGACAGAAAGATCGCAAGTTTGCCTCAGTAATTTAGCAAGACTCTGTCTCAAAATAAAAAACAAAAGGGCTGGGAATATAGCTTTAAGCACTCCTGGGTTCAATACCCAGCAACGCCCACCCTACTAAACAAACTTCAGAAATAATTTAATATGAAACACGACTGACAATAGAAGAGTGAAGAAACAAACAAGAAGTGGAGCCTGGAGTTGGTCTATTATCAGAAAATCTTATTATGTAGTTTTTGTTAGGTATGCACCTCCTTTTAAAAAGGTGACTCAGGAAATAACATCTAAATAGGCAATTGTTATATGTTGATACATATATGTACACATGCACATACATATGTACTATATATATAGATATATACAGTATCTATCTATCTATCTATATATATATATATATATACACACACACACATACATATAGATAAAATAGCAAAAATTAGAAAAAGCTGAGTGCGGTGGCACACACTTATAATCCCAGTGACTTGGGAGGCTGAGACAGGAGAATCCCAAATTCAAATCCAGCCTCAGCAATTTAGCAAGGCCTCAAGCAACTCGGCAACGCCCTATCTCCAATAAAATATAAAAAAGGGCTAGGGATGTGGCTTGGTGATTAAGCCCCACTGGGTTCAATCCCTGGTATAAAAAAAAATAAAATAAATCAGAAAAAGCTAAATATCCAACTGAAGATTGAATAGAAATAATACAAAACCATTAAAGATAAGCCAGATCTATGTATTAAACATGGAAGAGTATTCAAAACACAATTCTATTAACAGTGCTATTCAAGAGCTGCTTCTAAAATAATTTTTACCTTCTCAGTTAAACAGTACTATAATTTTTTGAATTTTTACAAAAAATGTTAATTTTAATAATAATAATAATTTTTGTGGTGCTGGGAATCAAATCTAGAGTTTTGTGCATGCTTGCTAGGCAAGCACTGTACCACTGGCTATAGCCCTACTAATTACTTTTTAAAAGTAAATTTTAGGTAAAAATACACATATGTATATAGAAAGAGTAGATATGGAAAGATAAATAACAAAGTACTGGTAAGCTGCTATATCTCAGGTTCATCATTCAGATTTCCTATCATACTTAAAAGAACCTGTGCTTATATTGTGCCCGCCTATATAATCCAAGATAACTTCCTGTCTCAAAGTCAATGGATTTACTTTTAATTACATCTGTAATTCCCCTCTGCCATGCAACCAAACACACTCAGATTCATGGGCATCTTAGAATGGGGAGAGTCATTACCTATCTACCATATTTTTATACTGGTATAAAATTAAAAAAAATAGCTAACTAATATTTTTACCAGAGACATGTAAAATGAGAATAAAAGACATTAAGATTATTAAAGTCAACCCTAAATTATACAAAGGATAAAACTAATGTGTTACTTAAAAAAAAAAAAAAAAGATGGGTATTGAATCTAAGAAAATTTCAACTAAGGTAATGAGGATTCTGTCCTATTTTTTTTCTCTAAGATTACTAGTTTTAGTGTGGGAGACCAACCTCACACATGACTGAGTCACACTCCCCGGCTGGGTACTGAGGCGCTCAGTCACAGAAATGTGGCAGAGCTTTCCCCACCCTTCTTGGGTTCGAGGGTTGGTGTCTCGTGCATGGGTGTGTCTTGCTACAGCCCCATGGGTGAAGCTATGCTCACCCGTTCCTTTGTAATATAACCCCTTGACCTGTTTAGGATAGAATCTTCCATGGAAGTGCCTTATGTGTGTCCTCTTTTCTTACTGTCCCTTTGGGTGTGGCCTACCCAGATGTCAATCAACCTGTTGACAGTGGACATCATGAAGATAGACTCAGCCCCCTGAAACCTGACCCCTTGCCTCATTTGAATAGCTTCTCCTCAATAAAAGGGGTCAGCGCATGATCTCGCTCTCTCTTCCTGTGGACCCTTAAGGTCAGAGGAGCCGTCACAGCTACCCCAAAGAAAAAGGTATCTGTGTCTCTTGTGTGGCTTTTTTGCGCAGCCCAGTTAGCCCAGTTCAACTGAAGTGACCCCTGAGCCTTTTAGTCGCAAGAACTGAAACCCGTTAGGTCTTATATTTAGGTCTAAGTTCCAATTTTAGGGATTTTTAATTGTTGTTTTGCTTTTTGCACATGATCGTCTTTAATTGTTCCAGCACCATTTGGTGAAGAGTAAGATAGATAATGAGATGCTCAAATGCTTTCTAAATCTCAAATGCTTCAAGCCGAATGTAGACAAAAGGCCACATACTCTATGATTCTATTAATATGACATTCCAGAAAAGGCAAAACTATAGGGATAGACATCAGATCAGTGACTGCCAGAGACTGGGGAAAAAACTTACCCCAAGAGGGCACAGGACACTTTTAGTGATGATGGAACTATTCCATATATTGATTGCAGTAGTGGTTAACTTAAAAGTATACGTTTGGTGGGGCTTAGAGTCCTAGTTCAGTAGTAGAGCACGTGCCTAGCACATGTGAGACACTGGGTTTGATCCTCAGAATGACATAAAAATAAAATAAAGGAATTGTGTCCATCTACAACTTAAAAAAAAAAGTATATATTTGTTTAAACTCAGAAGCCTGAACAACTAAAAAGTGTGAACTTTGTGTAAATTATGTTCCAATTTACCCGACATTAAAAATTATCAAAAGAGTCAGGTAATCATGTGGTACACGACTGTAATACCTGCAGCTTGGGAGGCTGAGGCAGGAGGATTGCAAGTTTGAAGCCAGCCTCAGCAATTTAGTGAGACCCTGTCTCACATAAAATATAAAAATGAGCTGGGGATGTAGCTCAGTGGCAAAACATCCCTGGGTTCAATCCCCAGTAAACCTGCCCCCCCCCCCCCCCCCCCCCCAAAAAAAAACCCTTAACAATAACAACAAACAAAACCAAATGAGAAGATAAAAAGATTATAAGGTTGAAAATCTCTGTTCCTAAATTTGAAATACTCCAAAATCTGAAATATTTTGAACACCAACATGATACCACAGGTGGAAAATTCCACACCTGACTGATCTCGTGTGACAAATCTCAAAGTACAGGTGCACTAAAAATAATGTATAAAATTACCTTCAAGCTGTGTGTATAAGGGGTACTAAAACATAAATGAATTTTCTGTTTAGATGTGGGTCTCATCTCCAAGATATCTGTCATATTTATGCAAATACACACACAAAAAAATCCAAATCCCAGATACTTTTGATCCCAAACATTTTAGGTAAGGGATATTCAACTGTAATTTATTTTGTAGGCTCCTAGGCTTTCTGAGCCCTGAAGATGTGAACATAATCAAAATTAAAAAGTAGCAGAGAAACCAAAAGGTAGAAAACCAGAGTCATCCCCAGAAAGGAGATATAGCTCAGTGGCAAAGTGCTTGCCTAGCCTGACTCAGACCCTGGATTCCATCTCAGCAAGGCAGGAGTGGTGGGCAATAAAGTATGAGAAGAAACACTTTTTAAATAAAGAGTTACCCAAGAGCCATAGGCTGATTTTTTTAGGACAGTGACCTAACACTTTAACAAATACAACAAACAGACAAACATGAAGTTAAGCCAGGGGTTGGGGGGCGGGGAGACAATCAAAGTAAAATTTACCTTTAGAGTCAGCATTGGGGAACAGCCTGTTCCATGGCACCTTATTTTTGTGTGGAAGAGAAAGCAAATAGTTTCTAGCTTTTAAATTTATTATACAATTCAGGTCTTCCTGTGATGGGGATCCAAGAATACCTAATGGATAAAATAATTAGCTGTTAATTACCAAGATTAAAACAAACAACTGCACACCACCAGCTATGGGACAGAATGAACCCTGGTACTACTTTATGTCTTCTCGTCACCAACCTTACCTTTCTTAATGAAAAAGATTTTTAACATTTTAAATCAGAGAAGATAAAAACCTCATGTCTATCATAGGTTTCAATTATCAGAACTCTTTTACAGTTAATGATGTGACTTGATGTAAACTGTGCTCAGGAACCTTACCCAGAATGTGGTTCAGCTGGTCGAGATAATGTTTCCCTGGAAAGATGGGCCTGTTGGACAGCATCTCTGCCAGGATGCAGCCCACAGACCAAATATCAATGGACTTGGTATAGCCCTGCAGCAGAAAGGGAGAAAAGGCTAAGAATGATATCTGCTGTTGCAAACAACATGTTGAGATTTCCCTATGTGACAGGCACATGGCTGTTAAGAGTTTTGAGATTCTCCTTTGATTTTAAAATTGAGTAACAACACTGAAAAAACAAATAATAATTTGGCTTTCTTATGAGATGCCAAACAACCAAGATAACTTAAATTTCTTTTTTCTATAATATTATCATTAAACTGGAATTTCAAAAGTATACATCAGTCCTTTAAAAAAATATTTGAAAGACAGATTCAAAATTTTTTATAATGGGAGCTGGAAAAGAAAAAAGTCATAACATTTATTGTTTTAGGATATTTGTGGCCCATCTATTCATTTTTGTAAACCTGGAAGTCAACTCAAAAGAAAGATCATTGCGGTACTCTCAGAATGTCTAGCCATCTTGCAAATCGTATTAAAAAACATCATGTTGAAAGGACTAGGGGATGTCCAACTCAGTGGTATAGTGCTTGTCTAGCATGCATGAGGCACTGGGTTTGATTCCCAGCACTGAAAAAACAAAAACGAAAACATCAGGTTGAAAAACTGTGATCTCTGGGGGAAAAAAGAGTGTGCTGCCTCCAATATTCTCATCTCCTTTCTGAATTATAAAATTTCTCTTAAAGGAAGTCTATTCAAAGTCATGGATGAATTCTGTCTAAATCATAATAGCATCAAACAACAACAACAACAAAAAGTTCCAAGGAATGAAAGCTGAATTTTATGAAAAGAAAAAGTTGCCTCTGGTGATAAGTAGGAGAACTGTAGAAATAATAATAGAAAAAAAATTAAGTCAAACAGTTGAAAATTTAGGTTAAGAATGAAATCTTTTTGGAAAATCAAATTAAAAAACAGTGATAAGATTTATAGCTATGATAAGATGGGTCTGAATTTTAAAATAAGTCTAAAATTATTATAATCTATAATAGTTTTTGCTTTGGGCCAAATGTAACAAAGGTAAATATTGAAAGTACACACAAAAAAATAAATAGCTAAAAAAGGGAGAAATGGCTGCTCCAGGTCTGGGGCAGGGCAAGTACAAAGTGACCCCAGAGCATCTAATGCCAGAAAGCAAGGAAGTACCTGATGCTAGTGGGAATGTCAAAAGCAGCTCTTACCTGCCAAATCTGGAACAAAAACATTTAACGATAGAGATGGATAATAAATCATAGAATAAATAAATGGAGATAACTAAAACAAAATAATAGAGTTATAAAATCATCAATGAATGATAAGAATACCAGGTTCAAGTCTGATAAAGAAGACAACTTTAGGGCTGGAGTTGTGGCCCAGTGGTAAAGTGCTTGCCTAGCACATGTGAGGCACTGGATTCGATCCCTAGCACCATTTAAAAAAAAATAAGCAAAATAAAGGTAGAAGAAAGAAGACGACGACGACAACTTTAAACAAAGTATTTCCCCACAAACTATTATTATAAAGAGGGTAATGATAATCTGATTGTGGAGACCTGGAGGATACCATCTTAATCAAAAGAGCAATGTGACCATTACCAATTATTTGGCACAAACCAGCTGTGCCTTCTGATACTAGGCACTTAGAATACAACATTGCGCCACATCAATGATCATGGCAGCACAATTCACAATAACTAGACTTTGGAATCAACCCAGATGCCCTTCAATAGATGAATGGATTAAAAAACTGTGGCATTTATACACAATGGAGTATTACACAGCACTAAAAAATGACAAAATCATGGATTTTGCAGGGAAATGGATGGCATTAGAGCAGATTATGCTAAGTGAAGCTAGCCAATCCTTAAAAAACAAATGCCAAATGTCTTCCTTGATATAAAGAGAGCAACTAAGATCAGAACAGGGAAGAAGAGCATGAAGAAAAGATTAACATTAAACAGAGACGAGTGGGGGGAGAGAAAGGGAGAGAGAAGGGAAACTATGGAAATGGAAGGAGACCCTCATTGTTACACAAAATTACATATAAGAGTTTGTGAGGGGAAAGGGGAAAAAAAAAAAAACAAGGGAGAGAATTAAACAACAGCAGATGGGGTAGAGAGGGAAGATGAGAGGGAAGGGGAGGGGGGATAGTAGGGAATAGGAAAGGTAGCAGAATACAACAGTCACTAATATGGTATTATGTAAAAATGTGGATGTGTAACCGATGTGATTCTGCAACTTGTATTTGGGGTAAAAAATGGGAGTTCATAACCCACTTGAATCAAATGTATGGAAGATGATATGTCATGAGCTGTGTAATGTTTTGAACAACCAATAAAAAAAAAAAAAATTAAAAAAAAAAAAAAAAAAAAGAATACAACATTGCTTCTGTGGTATTTGTGCCAAAAATCCAGGACCCAAAACTGCACAGCATTCTGCAAAATAATTGATCTTCATTCTTCAAAAAAATGACACTGAATTAATGTTGGTATCTTAGATATGCTAAAGTATCATGGCTGTGGGGAAGAGCATTCCATTTTTAGGGGTATTAATAATGCCCCAAATGGTATGGAAATAAGGTGTTGGTGAAGTGTCAGATGGCATGTCAAAAAGAAGGGAGAGGAGTGAGAAAGAAAAGAGAGGGAGGGAGAGAAGAAGATGGCAAGATGTTTAGTTGTTGCAAGCTCAGATATTTAAAAAAAAACAGATGGCAAGATGTTAAGATGGTAGATCAAAGTAAAGGGTACACAGGTATTCAATGTACTTTCAATTTTTAAAAATGTTTGAATATTTTTTAAGTTAATGAAAAGAAAAAAGTGAATACACCGCTAGAAGGAACATTCCCAGGGGCTAGAGATGCTGCAAATAAAGATTTTACAGTTTTCACTGTAGTAACTCTGCAAGTAGAAGGGAGTGTTGGGCATTTGGAAGAACACAGAGCTAACCCTACCATTTTTGGCTACTTCCCCATGGATGGTAACCGAAAAATGAAGGCAGTACAGGACACTCAAGATCAAGAAGCCACCATGATAAAGATCTACCACACCAACCACTGTCTTTTACAACCAGCAATGTACACTGCATACCAATGATCCTTGTCTGGAATGGCTGTCATGTGGCCCATCAAAGAACGAACCTGTGTGTGGGATTATTTGTAATACAGAGTTACAAGAGAATCAACAGTATTTTCTTCTTTGGAACACCTGTTACACCAAATCCTTCATTATGATACAATTTCTTTTAGTGGAATTTTGCTTTTATAATGAAAAAATGTAGGATATCAAGAATATCTGCTGGAAACAAATTCCATTTCCTCACAAAAGCACTTAATAGCTTATCTCTACACATAAAGAATGGAGGAAGACAATGGAGCCCACAAGCTAATTAGACCTGTTCATTTCCTAAGCCTCTCAGGACTATTTCTGGTTGCTGGGCCTTAGACACAATGCCCAATATGAATTCATATTATTTTCTTCATGTTATATTTTCTTGTTATTTAAGAATCTCATCCTGTGATATTAGGTATAGCTAGTATGTCAGATCTATTTATACTATCCAATTTTGAAAACTTTTCCACATACTATTTGCAGATAATATGTTAAAAATACTGAACCTAATCTCCCATAGCTGCCCTCAATTTTGCCTACTGATTCCTAATTCTAAATAGAATTAAGAATATTTAAATATAAGAATATTTCACTTTTTCCTTTTTTTAAAAAAAATTTATTCCTTTAGTTCTGGCTGGACACAATACCTTCATTTTATCCATTTTTATATGGTGCTGAGGATCGAACCCAGAGCCTCACACTGGCCAGGCAAGCACTGTACTGCTGAGCCTCAACCCCAGCTCACTTTTTCTGGCTTTTGTAAATGTATTCAATCATTTCTTATGACCAAGAGACAGACCTTGTCAACAGAGTTCGTACAAAACCTCCATGTACTCTCCCTAGCCACTTGGGAGATGTAGAGGAAATATTTCATTTGGAAGCAGGACTATATAGTTTTGAAAGACTCCACGACAGTTCTTAAATGGAAAGAATAACAAATCATACTATTATTTTGCTGAGGAGACATTTTTCATTAAGAGATATATCTGACTTTTATAGGACAGCCCTAGTCTGTGTTCACAGAAATACAGATTACCGTAACTTCTGAAAAAAGACAGCCTGAATGCGCCTTGGCAGCAGTAGGTGTGAAAGTTGCCACAGAAAGGACTGCAGGAGGATGAACCAAGGTGAGGAACACAGACCATTTATGGTAAATGTGACTGGAGATGAAACCCTCTGACTCTCATCAGGCCAGCAATACTTCAGCTGAGATGGAGAGGGCAAATTCCAATGTCCAGGAATTCAATGCTGAAGAAGAGATTAAGATAGCACCTTGGCTCTGGGCCTATGTGGGCTGGTCAGACAGGACAAGGATTAACCCAAGTTGAGGCTGGAAAGGGAGGCTTACAGTCACACATTCAGAAAGTTCTCTTACTTCTGATTTTCTTTTTATGCAAACAGGTCCTTACCTTGGAATTCAACATAATTTCTGGAGCCCTGTACCAACGTGTGGCTACATACTCTGTCAGGAATCCTGTGTGATCATGATCTGGATCTGCAACACGGGCCAGGCCAAAGTCGCAGATCTAAGATAAAAAGTGACATGCCATTATTAGAAATTCTAATCAGCTTGACATCAAAACATAATATTAAAAGTAAAAAAAAAAAAGACAACAGTAATAATAAGTACTTGCTATCATACTGTGTCAGACACTTTGCTGGGAATTTTTTAATCCTTCCAATAACCTGAAAAGTAGCGATGACTATCCATGTGCTAAAGATTAGGAAACAGGTTACAGGGCCTTTTAATAGTCAATTTCATTATCTGCTTATCACACAGCAATTTTGCTTAGGTACTTGACAAATTGTTTTGGGTAGTCATCAAATCCATCTAGAGTCCTTTTTCAGCCCCATACTACTAGAGCTCCTGTGATGAGCTCTTTAATGAGCACTGGACTTATCTTAGGCTCCATTTCCTATTAGTCTTCTACTTAGTCCAAGAATGTTGGTATTTCTCAAGATTCTTTTCACTTCCTTCCCCTTTCAAGTAATCAAATCTTTAAAAAGTTTTAAGTTTCTAAAGCTTCAAAAGTTTCATGTATGGAAGATACATTATTTTCTTTTTAAAAAGATACCCAGTTTCTCATTTCCTTCTCACTCTCAGAAGCACCTCCTAGACTTTCATCATCTCGCCATCTAATACAGTGCGGTTACTAGGGACTAGCTATTTCATCAAACTCTAATGTATATAAACATAATGTATTTTATCCATAAATGCAGGATATTTTAATTCTTTGGCCTCTGGGAAACTAATGAGAAAGAGAGGGAGGAAGGAGATAGACACATAGACACAGGAGAGACAAGTTAACAAGATGGGCCAGAGTATAGGAGAAGGTAGCCTAGAAGACATAGATTAATATGGAAGCTTACTACATCAGTCATCTAAGAAACAAGGGCCCAAACTCAGGCTAGAGATAATAGGGTCAATGAAGAAGGGACAAATCTAAGAGACATCTGTAGGACATGGGAGTTTAGCAGAATAGCAGTCTGTTTAGATATCTCACAAAAGAGTGCCTCAATAATTGAAAGATTTGGAAAGATCTCACCGACTTCACAAATATCTTCCTCTGGTCATCCCACCTTGGAGGCTGGCATTGTCAGTAGTAGCGATAGGCTCTCTTGCCTGCTTCAACTAGAGCATCCAAGGAAATGCCCATCTGAATTGCATAATTTCCCTGTCTTTGACACACTGTCACTGCATCACTAAAAGGAGCAGATAGCACATCTGCTGTCCCAGTGACTCTTCCACATATTACTTTCCATATGGACTCTCACTTGGTAAAGTGGTGAGAAATATTGTCTTCTGTAGTTCTGATCAACTCCAGTCACTGCATTCTTGCAATCTACGTAACCTTCAATGTAAATCCTGGGACTCTCTTCTCAGAGATGGCCTCCTTGCCAATGATATTAGACTCATCAATAGTCATAGGCCTCTCAAGGAGATCTAGCTGAGGAACAGCCGTGAGCTTTCACAAGGCCTTGTACATGCTAGGTAAGTGCTCTACTACTGAGCTACATCCTAGCCTCAGTCATAAGCTCTTGAGAGGGAACATATTTGAATTCTCAATTCTGCTTGACCATCTGAAGGCTTTCAATATATCTAAATCTCATTTTTCTTTTGAGCCTTTTCTACCAATTCCTCTGAAGCAAACTGCAGGAAGTTTTTCCAGTACAACACTCACTAGCAACATGAACCAACAAACAGAAGTAATGAATGACTGATTTCTTCCATGTCTGAAGAGTGCTGAGTCTTCATTTGCCATGTTGGACTATTGCTAATTCATCCTAGTTCTGTGGTTTGAACTTTTTTATTTTTAGGTGGACACAATATTTCTATGTGGTGCTGAGGATAGAACCCAGTGCTTCATGCATGCTAGGTGAGTGCTCCACCACTGAGCCAGAACCCCAGCCCTGGCTTGAACTTTTCAATGTATGTGTGATCCAGTTTCTCTCAAATCACATAACAAATCCCACATAGATTAAAAAAATGTATGAAATCTGCAGATCAATAATGTTAAGTACTAAAGTGAATGTTTCTAAATTCCTCTAGGACTTTGGAAATATGGAAGTTGTATTTTAGAAGGCTTGTTAAGATTCTTTAATATCTATGAAGACAAGGATAATGAATGCTATGAGTAACTGTGTGTGTGTGTGTGTGTGTGTGTGTGTGTGTGTGTTTGAGAGAGAGAGAGAGAGAGACTGCCTTGCCAATATAACCCACCCCACTGTATTTCTTCCTCCTCTTTGTTTTTATGCAGTACCTAGGGCTTCATGTATGTTAGGCAAGCACTCTACCACTGAATTATATCCCAGTTTTCCCTATGCTTTTCTTCTAAGCTCTTTGGTTGAACCTGTTTCAAGATGTCGGGTCTATCTCCTCTTCTTGTGAATCTGAGTGAACCTCTAAGCATCTGAACCAATAGAATACAGTGAAAGTATTCTACATTATAAACTGACATATGGCTTCTACTTGATCCTCTTGTGGTACTTGGAACCCTCTACCCACAAGAGGAAGCCTGGCTACACATAGACATCCCAGCCAAAAGGCAGCACCAATTGCCATCAAGCATATAACTGATGATTTTACACCCTATCTTATCTTTTGACAAAGACCCAGATACTGGAGAGAAACCAGGCATCCCTGGGCTGCCCCTTGACTGAATTCTGGACCTACAGAAAACCATGAGGCAATACATGATCATTGCTCTTTTAGGTCACTATGTTTTGGGGTGATTTGTCATAGAGCAAGAGTAACTACAGTGGTACTGTGCTGAGTTAATGAGACAGGCACTCCCTAATGAAGATACATATAAAATGATTCTAGAATACTGCAGAGATGCTTCCCTGAGGAGACCTGGGAAAGCCAGAACGAGGTCCTAGAGAAGAACCAGCTGGGCATGTTTGAGGGGCAGAGAGGGGGCAAGGTAGGGTAGAATTCTCCAAAACATCTCTTGAACTGGCTGCTTCTCCTACATCTCAACTGCCATTGTAGTTAGTTTGTGTAGATTTAGATAAAAATTCATATTAAGTGTTATTTCTAAATAAGTCATGCCTTTGGCTTGAATAAAGACCAAACTCTCTTTTAAGAAAAAATAGTTGTAGATGGACACAATACCTTTATTTTATTTATTTTTTATGCGGTTCTGAGATCAAACCCAGTGCCTCACATGTGCTAGGAAAGTGCTTTACCACTGAGGTACAACTCTTGCCCAAAGACCAAACTCTTCAAGCAAAACTTTTAGACTACTCTCAAACTCTCACCAACCTAACTTCCACATTGTTTTTATCTCTCACCATTACTTTTGATTCTAATTTACTTGACACCTATTTCCCTTTCCTTGGCTAAGCAATATCATCTCACCCGTGGGCCCTATCCATGCCATTCCAGTAAGTTAAATACCTACATGAAAACTCTTCTGAGGAGTTTCCTAGGAATTAAAACCACCACCAAGAATTAACTGCTTAATTTTATGAACTCCCATACTATTTGGTTAGAGTTATACTATAAGTATACTATCACAATCCATAATAAACAACTGTGTTAAGTGTCTGTTTTTCCCATTAGTATGTAAGTCCCTAGAAAATAGCAGTACTTAATTTACTTTTTATTCCTGCTACACATAGTGAACATCCAACATTTGATGAAAAAAATGCCTCACCTGAAATGTTTTTGAGAAGCACAACCTAGGTGGATTAATGTGCAGAGATTCTAGTAATGACTATTTTTCATAATATATAAATCACTATATCTTTTAAAAACATCAGGGCTTATAATATCACAATGATAATAAAATTACATTTTACATGTGGCAATATTAAGAAGGAAAAAATAAAAAAGTGGAATTAAAAATCCTCACTAGGCAAACAACATACTCTAACACTCTGAATGATGTAATTATATATCTATTTCTTTAAAATTTAAACCAAATGTGTAATTGCTTTTCCCTGTCTCTTTTCCCCAAGAAATCTGGTCTGAAAGCCATTAAGTGAGATCATGAAACATTAAGTCCCCAGTGGGGTAGGGGAAAGGCACAGCAGTTTGGTGGGGAATGGAGCATGTAGATAGTAAATTAATAGTAGACTAAAGATCTGGATATGCTATAGGTGAAAGGTGAAGAGGGGTCTAGTAGAAAAGGTTGTAACAGCCCACCTGGGGACTAGAGTAAAATAAGGTAATGATATACAGTCAATTGTTTCATTGGGGGTTGCAAAATGGAGATGTTTCTAATTTTATTATTCCCCTGCATTTATTAGCTGGTATTCTTTTAAAAGGTCTGTGGTTCAACAGGGGTTTACCCTGATACACAGAATCTAGTTTCCCATTGGAAAAAAAGGAGAAATGTTCAATTCTTCAGAGAAGTGAGCTGGTGTAAGGGGAACCATATTTTTATCATTTGTATCTCCTATACTTAGGACAAGGAACAAGCAGGTTTCCCATGTCACTGGATATATTTTTAAAAATAAAGGAGTTGTGGGATTTATGGCTCTTGAAGATTTTATAACTTCCTTCCTGGTCATCAATGGAAAGTTCATGTCATTTTTTTCTCCCTCTCAAGTTATCTTAACATGACAACACCAAAGACTAACCAAATTTACATTGCATTAATGACTAACTGCTAAGACTACAAAATAAAATAGTAATAAGATATGGTATAAGAAACATAAAATGACTTATAAATATTAGGACTTCTATCTGGCTACTTTTTGGACTGTGTAAAATAAAATTTCATGAAACAAAGTAAGCCCCAAAGACATGTTTCATTTTGTATCCTCCAGAATACTCCTTTATAGGTACATCCAGAATCACAAGGGCTGCAATGACTTCTATTGGGATTTCTGTGTGGTCAGCCTAGTAAACAATGAGTGCAATCAATATAGCACATTTCCCTGGTAGTCACACTAAAAATATGCTAAGAACCTCCAATTAAGGTCTCTAATTTATGTTTTTGTGGCCCTGAGAAATAAAAGGTCTATAAGTAAGGCTCCCAGAGAATTCTAAAATGTCAACATCTGCTGGACCTCAGGG